GTCTTCCCCAATGAGAAGCAAGAGTGACTGGAGTCAGGAATGGGTTAGAGTGTGGGGTCTGCCTGGGCAGATGATGAGAAATTTTGAACCAGATGTTGGTTGTGCATTTTGGGAGCTAAAACTTGAACCTGCGGTAAAGACAATTCTGGGTTCAGGTGCCTGCCTTTGTCCAGCAGCTCTTTGGATGGGGACAGAGCAGGGTCCATTTCACTTTGACCATCCTGAACCTAATGGTGATGGAGAAGGGGAAGAAAGACCCCACGCGGTCCTGCCTTAATCTCGCTGTAACAGCTGTGAACAGACTGGTACCAGAAACAGGTAACTTTTCTCAAGTTTTATTGTAAAATCCTCAGAAAAAGAGCATTTACAATGACAATACTTTATGATAATTTGTGAATCGTCTTTATATCAAGTGGTACTGCAAATACACGGCGTGTTCAATACTGTGTCATACATCAAAGTAAATGCAAACTTATCTCAAATGCCACATACAGTTACTGTGTTGGTACAAATTTCTACTAAAGTTGATGTATTAAAAATAATTTATATATATTTTATAAATAAGGAAAAATTCACATGTATAGTAATTACAGGAGGCCTTTTGAGAAATACCGGTGATTACAGAAAATATATTTTGGAGTCTACACAACTGCTCAAAATAATGTAATCTGCCTTGACATAAGAGATCTGAAAGTTTTCTGAGGTGGGGGAGGATGATAACCTCAACGGGACAAGCGGTCGGTATGACTTCATATCTTGAGGGTCATTCAGCTACACGATAGCATGAAACAGTGTGTGACCACTCCAGTAAAACTCCATGCCCAGTTCTGCTTTTAGATCATCTCACATGGCCCTCAGAGAGCACGAGCAGCAGGGGCGGGGGAGAAAGGTAGGGTGCGACGGGGCTAGGCCAGGAAAGGGGAGGAGCTGGTCCACCGCAGGAGCTGGGCTGTGAGGGCGTAGGCAGTTGGGGCGCCAGAGGGGGTGTGCTGTGGGTCTGGGCTGGGTGGCTTGCAGACCTACTATCCCTCACTCTCTGAAGCAGCTTAAGTAGCAAGGGACCGACAACTGTTAAAACCATGGCAGATGTCACATGGGCAGTGGATAAAGTTTTAGATTTAGGAGACTTTCTCATTTGCGAGCTCTTGGGCCCCGTAACCAGCCAATACTCGTTGCCCTTACTCAGAAACGAAGCTCTGATGTCGAAGAGAGTGCCTCCAAAGGGCAGAATTCTCCAATTCTGCCATTGTGACACATGGAGAGCCATATGTCACCAGGCTTAGGGTAGGGTGAATCAATAGCTATTGCTTTGTGGAGTGCAGGCTAAGCCCTCTAGGGCATGGCCCATGTTCTCTGGGGCCACAGGGGAAAGGGATGGTCCCATATTAGTCAAGGTGAGCTTGGAAAAAGAGGTGTGTGAATTGTGGCTTTGTCAGAAAAAAAATGGTACATGCTCAACATTCTGGTGCTGGCTAAAGAAGCCTCACTATGAATTTTGGAGGCTAATCTCCACTCTCCCCACATTTTCCATAATGTCACACATCATGTTTGGTTAACTTCCCACTCACTGCCCACAGCTCCAAAGGATGCATGAGACCATGCTTGCTGGGCTCCTGGTGTCTGCTGGGTGGCTGGTGCCCAAAGCCTGCAGGCCCAGATAAGATGCTCGAATCCTCAAGTGACTTGGCAGGTAAGTCAGCTGGTGTAGACAAAAGTAGGAAGTGGGTTGCATTCTACCAGGTATTTGGGGTCTTGCAGTCACATCTTGAGGATAGGCACTATATATTTTCTCCCTTGAATCTTTTAAGCCTCTCTGTCCTATGACTCTATGATTTTGGAGAGAAACCAAGGCAGCTAGTCACTTTCTTGAACAAATCTGCTTTGCCTACGTGCCTGTCTGGGAGCAAACAGCAGCATCTTGCCCTATGAGTGACTTCTCACTTGTACCCCAAAGCAAGGGAGCAGCATGGGCAAAGGCCATTGGGGAGCTGGTGTGGCGGTAAGGTCAGTTGCTGCTTGAATTGTAGGATCTGTGGAGTGGCTCATGAGCAGGAGGCCGGAGGCATAGGAAGGGAGCAGGAAAGGCAGAAAATAAAATGGGAATGGAGGGGGGAGCAGCTCGGTCCCTCCAAGGGACAAGGCTTGGCTGAGATGTCATGGTCTCTGTTCCTGTCCGATGGTTCCTGCCTGACAATGTCCAAGTTTGCAGACAGTTCTGAGTTCTCTCTAGTCTTGGTCACCTAACTCCGAAGGGCTGTGAGCTAGGGTTCATGGGGTGTGATTATGGGCAGCAAGGGACTGTGTCCCAATGGGTTCTGACTGCACTTGGAGTGGGATCTGGGGTCCTGGGTGGGGGAGGATGGCAAAGGACTTCATGTCAGCATTGTCGTCATCCTATGTCACCTGTCTGGCATCCTGGCATGGGGGCGGCATGCCAGCAGTGCTGGGTGCAGGGAGGAGAATGTGAGGTAGATTGGTGGATGCATAGGAGGGAGGTGGGGAGGTGGGAGCAGGGTCAACTCTCCTGGAGGCTTCTTCTGCAGAGGAGGATCAGAGAGAGAGAAAGTTGTGGGATTTGGTAATGAAGATGGTTCAGCATCTGTGGTATTTAGTGAAACACATTGTGAAAAATGAATCGACTTTTTAAGCCCCTTGTAGAAAAATATATCCAGAATGAATCTGTTTCACATCTCAGTTCTGAAATCTCCTTTAGGTCACAGATTATTGGTCAACAGAAAACAAGAGTTGTGGCCACACAAAGCTGACTCTAGGCTGCTTTCCTAAACGCAGACTCAGCAGTTACAGTTCCCTAGGGCAGGAGGCGGTTCTCTGCTTTATTAGGGGGTTGAAAGCTGTCCTCCAGGGCATCTACCTGGAGCTGGGAGCCCTTTTCTGCACAGAGGAGCCGGGAGATGGGGAGACAGCCAGGATGGGGGTGGGAATGATAGGGACTGATCTTCTGTCTCTAGTGAGGCTGCCTCTAGATCAGAGACCCTGCAGCATGCTGTCAGTGGTTTGCCCAGCCAAGACTTCCAAGGGCTCTTCCAGCCACGTCTGGGGGCTTGGGGAAAGTAGCAGGACCCTCAAATGACTTGGAGACTTAAGAAAGAAGCCCGGGCCAGTGCTTGCTGGGTCGGGGTTGCTGGGGCTGGCGTTTGCCACGTTGTGCGTCGTCCATGCCTGGGCCTCCTGTGCAGAAAGTCCATGCAATCATCTAGAAGTGGATAATCCCTCCTCCTTCCACCAATCTGTGGGTGCCTGGGCTGGCTTTTGGACCCAGCATCTCTGTGTGGGGCTCTGCTCACTTGGTCAGAAGTAGAATGAGGGCCTCCATTTCAAATCCTTAATGTCACCACACATGTAGAGTACCTGTGTGTTTGTTATTCTGAAAAAAAATCTATGTTGAGTTTTTGTAAACTTAGTTCTATTTCAAAATTACTCAATTTTGAACGTAGTTCATTATGCAAGTGGTTTTTTTTTTTTTTTTTTGTGAGGGAGATCAGCCCTGAGCTAACATCCGTGCCAATCCTCCTCTTTTTGCTGAGGAAGACTGGCTCTGAGCTAACGTCTATTGCCAATCCTCCTCCCTTTTTTTCCCCCCCAAAGCCCCAGTAGATAGTTGTATGTCATAGTTGCACATCCTTCTAGTTGCTGTATGTGGGACGCAGCCTCAGCATGGCCGGAGAAGCCGTGCGTCGGTGCGCGCCCGGGATCCGAACCCGGGCCGCCAGCAGCGGAGCGCGCGCACTTAACCACTAAGCCACGGGGCCGGCCCTATGCAAGTGGTTTTTTGGCGATTCTTTTGGTAAAATGAATACTGTTTAAATAATGTGAAATAGTAATAGTTGACCTTTTGTGTTCCTTGGAAGGATCACCGCCTGGGTTTGCTTCAAGGCCCACCTGTTGTGATGACTTCTTACACCAGTGGCTTTCAAGCTGTGTTCCATGAGCCTCTTCTGGGGCTGAAGTGTGGGAGGGATGGGCAGGTGGGGTTCTGGCCAGTCTTTCGCTTGCCTCTCACCCAAACAGTTTTCTTGATTGCACTGCTGAAAAAACATTTACCCTCCTGCCTTTGTGAATTTGCAATTTTCAGGCCTGTGATTTCCTGCTCCAATTCAGGTGTATCCAGCACGGTGGCAGCGAGACCTAAGCTGACCATCTCCCATAAGTGCACAATGAGGACACGGAGAGGCAGATCTGCTTCTCAGACACACTTAGAAGTGGAAGGAATAGTGGAAAAGGAGCAGATGCTGCAGGAGTCACTCCCTGTTCAGGCCAGTTTGGATTGGATTGGTCTTTGACTTAGGAATCTTGCCACCCAGAGGGGCCAATGCTCTGGGTTGGTGGGCTCTTTCTCAGGTAGGCTCAGAGACTTTCTTTTTCTGACAGGGGCTACCATGATTTAGATTTTTCCAAGAAGAAAAGTTCATGAAAGCTGGAGAATTTTGGTGATAAACATGGGAGTTTGGAAGCAAATGTGTCAAGATACTGAGGCAAGAATAAAAAGAAAGGGTGAGATGTGTTAGCCATCCATCTCAGCTATTGTGAAACTTAATATTAGGCTTTTGAGGTCAGTTTCCTCAACATACATCTACATATTTTACCTTTAAAAAAATCTAAAATATGAATGTTCACGTCTAGGCACACTTCATGGGAGTGGTAGAGGACGAGTGTTTGGTGGACCAAGATCCGTGAGACATGCCAGAGGATTGGCTGATCTCAGGAAACTGGGCGGAGGGTAGGTAGGTTGGGCAGTGAGATGGGAGTGAAAAGGCGCTGTGTGTATTTAGAGTGAGACAGGGCCTATGTCTTCCTTTCCCTGAAAGGGGCCATTCCTCAGTAGCACAGGAAAGTCATAGCCGTGTCGGCAGGTGAAGGTGGGTAAAATAGCTAAAGTGTCTGTCTGTGATGGGCCCACCTCTCCCAACTCCAGGTGGCTGCCAATCCACTCAAGCCAGAAATCATACCGGTGTGTTTTGGCCGCTGACGTGAGTGAGAGGGAAAGGGTGTTCTGAGAATCCAAGGGAGCCTTTTCCTTGCTGAGGTTCTCCAACACAGGCCGTCTTCACAGGGCTGGTTGGGCTGTACTTCTTGGATGCCAGCCCGAGAGCCTATCGGAGCCTGAGACAATTGGGAATAACTCAGCAGCGCCAGCCTGCATCCTTCTGATTCTGAGTTTTGGGGTGTGTGTTACTGGGGAGAGGAGGCTCATGGGTAAGAAAACACTTACTGAACTGTGCTGTCTGTACCGTAATGATGCAGGGACTGGGGGTGCCAGAGCCGAGGGCAAGGGACACAGGCATAGAAGAGACTGGTTTTTGAAAGGAATAGGCTAAGGAACTCTCCTGGACCCCACTTGTGTACTTGGGGTTTCAGTGTTGAGCCTGGAGGTCACTGTTCTGCAGGCCACCCACACCTTGCCAGGTAAGCCCAGTCTGCCCTGAATTTGGGGTACTGGGCTTGGCTAATAAAATGCTCCCCATCAGTGGTGAAAAGCAGGCACGCAGGGTTTCTCCTGGTCTCTTGGGGTCCCAACCCCGGAGTCTTTACCAATGTGGTGGCCTGATCTGCACTTGGGGGTGTCAGTGGTGTAGAAGACCATTATTCTTTGATGACCATTGTTCTTCTTTCTGGCTGTGGGAAGTGGGGTGGTGACTCGCAGAGACTTGGCCTAAGGCAGGGAAGAATACAGCTGGACCTCAGAGAGTGTCTTTCTGCTTACTAGCATTTGAGATTATAAAAAATTATTTTTCGATCAAAATTTCCAAAATAAAGTGAGTGATTTCCCCATCCCCCAAGATGCAATAAGTCTTGTTGGCTCTCCCTCAGGCTTACAACAAGTCAAATGGAAAGAAAAGCAGGAAGCAGCTGTGAAGGAGAAAATAAGGTCCAGAGCGAGGGCAGATGTGGCTTTCATGCCGGGAGGGAAAGCCCTGCTCCTGGTGAACCTGTGTTTCCAGGCCCGATTTCCGGCCACTCCATCAGGGTGAAGTCCGGCTGGATCTGGCGGTAAAGGAGAATGACTACGCGAAGGCAACCGACAGAAGCGTCAGCCTGGAAAGCAGGAGCTCTTGGTTCCATGGCGTCCCCAGGTAACACGGTGTGGAGCTGGGCACACAAATGATTCCTTTACACAGCAGCATGTGTTCTCGTCATAGCTCAAGGCATAAATCATACTTCCTAACAAAAAAACCCCAATCTTGTTAGCAGCGCATACCTTATACTAGGAAACTTGCAAGGAGACCAGTGTTGAACCACAAAGCGAATATAGGTTTTTGCTTTTGTCTGTAAAAATGTACAGGGCGCCTGCTTGGGGCTGTGGTGTCAGGACTAGGCAGTGCTCCTCGGCCCAGGGCTCTGCTCTGCGCTCCCTCATACCTCGCCCACCCATACCACTGTGGTCCCCCCCTTTATGCCCGACACCTCACACCGCAGTGCGTTTTGTCTCCCGTTGATGAGAAACAGCGACTCTTGGGCTGGCGTGAGGAGGTACTGTCCGAACAGCCCACTGTCCCTCACGATCCTGCGGGGCCCTCCCCAGGGCCAGGCTGGCCCCGTGGGCAGCTCCTTTAAGTTCTTCAGCACGCCCATTTTCCCTGTGGACAGCTCCAGGAACAGCAGGGCTGGCTCTGTCTCCAGAGTGGCGTAGATGTAGTACTGATTGCCTTGGGTGAAGGACCGCTGGAAGGCCACGTCAGAGATGCCCTGGCTTATGGTCAGGTCATAGAGGGTCTGGATCTCCCCGCCCAGCGTGATCTCCTGCACGTGCAGCTTGGGGCTGGTGGCAGCAGCACTGACTACGAAGCGCCCATCGGGGGATGTGTGTGGGGTGCCGGTTACATCACGATTGGGGCCAATCACGGAGTCCGTGACACTGTCGATCAGCAGCTGCCGTGCGGCCGAAGTGGAGCTGTCCTGTCGGCACTGGATGAAGAAGTAGCCTCCCAGGTGGGTGTGGGCCATGGCCTGTGGCATGCAGCCGTGGCTCTGTAGGCCAATGGTCTTGAGGAGCATCAGTGTTTCCAGGTCGACTTTGTGAACCACAGGGTCAGACTTGTTGAAGATGAAGCCGAACCTGGGACGGGAAGAACTGAGGTCAGAGGTTGGGAGGCCTCTTGGGGTAGGGGATCTGTCATTGGTCTCAAACAACTGCATCCTTTCTCTTTCCCTTTATCATAGTCCCTCAGTGATCTAACAGCCTATTAACCAGAGCTACCATTCTGCAGGGGATGGCTTCCAAAGGGATTCATCATGATGTCAGACCAAATGCAGTTGAGTTACAAATGTGTCTGGGTGCTCTCGTAACAGGCACGCATCTTCAGAAATGGTACAGAAGGAGGTCAAAGTGCCTTCAATAGCTCCTCCCTTTGGGATGCCTTTGACTCAGCTTCCCCGAGGCCTTGTGCCACCTGGGAAGTGGTGGGCCTCTGCCTGGAAGGAAAGGACAGGAGATGTCTGTCCTGACTGCCCGCTAGGAGGACAAGATAGGAGAGCCCATTCTCTAGCTGTTCTCTGGACTAACTGGAGAGTCAGAATGTAGGGATGCAGATGCGACTGAACAAGGACAGATTTCCTATCAGTGCTCCCCTATCCTGGCAGAGGAAGGTGAAGGGGCAGCCTCTTCTCTGGCCACATTTATGATGCTGGTGGGAGGAACCTCGGGCAGTGGAGCCGAGGACAGCTTTTACCTTTGGAGCCAGGTGGCCTGGCACTGCTGCAGTGTCCTGCTAGCTGCGGAGCCTGGGGCAAGTTGCTTGCCTCTCTGTGACTCTAAGAGGATAGTTCCTTCCGAGGGCTGTTGGGAGGACTCAATCTAAGAGGGAGCTTTAGTGGGAGAGCTCAGTAGGTGGTAGCTGCTCTCATCTGGACTTTCTGAAATTCCTCTTTGGAGGTTGGCCACAAGTCGCAAAAAGGCCTGACTCCAGGCAGGACTTCCTTTAGAGTGGAGAGCCTCTGCCTAAATCCTTTGCTCATAGAGGCCTTTTGGCACTGTGCACACCTACATGAATAGAGGAAAATCTCCTCCACAGTTTTCTCTTGAATAACTGTGCCTCAGAGTGGGGAAGATGCCCACTTTCAAGCATCTTTAAAGTATCCTTAAAGGGTCAGAGCACGGAGAGAGCAGGAAAAAAAACCCCACTCTTACAAAGAACTTTAATGTAAAAGCCACACATGGGCGCTGCAGAGCCTCTGAGTTTCAGCTTCTTGGAGGGGGTTTCACCATTAAGAACCGTCTAGAGATGGTTCTCCAGTCCCTCTCTACAGTGAGGGCTTCACAAAGTGGCTATTTTCTTCCTCAGGCAAGGATAAATGGGCAAGTGCTATTTTTATAAGTCCAGCATCAGCTTGCAAAAATGAGTCACTTCTTCCTGGAGAAAGGTACTCGATGTCAGACTAAGAAAGGCATAAATAGTGCCAGAAGACTTTTGGGTCCTGATGACTTTATAAGAGGGCAGGCTTAGTCTGCTGCAGTGGTGACTTTACAGAAAGTGTCGAGGGTTCTCTGAAATGAACAGGGAGGGGAAATTGCCAGGCTGGGATGAGGTTTGCAGTTGAGGCCATGGCTATTATTATTAGGCTGTTCTTTTGAATGACAGCAAACCAGGCAACGAAGAGGCCTCGGTTCCTTGCAGGCCCCCTGCATGGCTGCTCTGGGGGCTCCTAGAGGAACCATGGGCTGTGGTGAGCAGAGAATAAGGCAGACTGGGGCACTGAAAGGAGACTTGGCTTTGTGTTTAGCCTGACTCTGCCAATTCCTGGCTGTGTGACCTTGGCCAATGTCTTAACTTCTCTGAGCCTCAGTTTCCTCATCTGTAACATAGGGGTCGAGACTGTCTCTACTAGTTTTTTGTGTCTAGCAAGTAGAGGGTGCTCAATTAACCACTGTTTTCTTCTTTCCTCTATTGTCCTCACCTCAAGGATGAGATTTCCTGACCTCACAGGGCCCCTGAGGGCCTTAGGGGCTGGGTGCCTTTCTTAGCTCTAGCAATTAAGGAACAGGGATGGGTCCATTTCTCTGTCTCTTCCTGATGGGGTCCAAAGCCAGCCCAGGATGAGTAGGGGAGATAGAGAAATGAGCAGGTCCCATCCTGGGTGAACCTGCCCCATGCAGAGCTGAGCTGGATGATAGAGTACCTTAGGGCATCGTGGGCTGGTCTTACCTGATGTGGTTGATGATGAGGTTTGTTGGGGGAATGAAGAAATCATCCACTCCTGCAAAAGGTGTGCGGATAAGGTGCTGGCCCTGGCCAGTGCTGGCTTCTGTGATCACCTACAACACAGAGCACGAGTCCTCGTGAGGGCCCATCCAAGTAGGGGGCACGGAGACATCGTAAGCCCTGGTGGAGACCCCCAGCAGACAGGCTGCTTGAGAGATGAGGGACAGGCCGCAGTCTTGGGGGCGGGGGCAGGAGCAGAGTGGGAGCTGCTCGGGAATGGCATAGGCAGGGATCCCTCCTTCCCAGGAGAGGAAGTGGTGGGACAGGAGTGAACGCCTCAACTGCTCCCTTCTGCGCGGTCAGGCCCGACTGTGCTGCACGTTGTCAGCTGACGCCGTGGCAGCAGAGTGAGACTTGCAGGGGCCATGTTGGGGCTTCTGAGGGAGGTCCCCAGAACCAAAACATCACTCTGCTCAGAGAAAACCTCCCCACGACAGAGAATCCCACCTTCTCAACACCTAGGCCACTCTGAGAAAAGAGGGAGAGAAATTTTTAATCAGGAAAATGTTAAATGGTGGAATTATTCATTGGTTCTTTATTTTCCTTTGATGCCAGGTGCCTGGGCCAGTTTGTTGGTACTCTCTGTCATATACAGCTCATAAAGGCATTCTCTGAGAGCACTAACTCCATAATGTATTAGAGAGAGCAGAAATCCTGCCGCGATGCCATTCAGAGATGCTGGTCATGCCATTTAGATGTCTTGCAATTAGAAGCTGGGGAGAGGTTCCAGTTTCAAAGGGGACTTGCTGTGAGAAGTAAAGAATTAGGCCCTGCGTTTTGTACAAATCGGTAGTGACAGCATGGCCACCTCTGTTTCCCTGGAGGTGACACTGTCTCCTTTGTAGACTTGGCAGGAGAGGACTTGAGCCATTCCCTGGTGTGTGTCCCTGCTGTGTCTGTATCAGGGAAGGGCAGGCTGGCAGTGCAGAACAGAGCTGAGTGATGTCTGAGGTTAGACAGGATGAGAGAGTGGTCTGGAGGTCCCGCTGGAAAGCCCCCTGTGGTCAGGTTGGGCATCTGTCCATCAGCTACTGAGGCTTCGGGCCAGGGCGAGTTGGAGACATGGAGCCAGACAGCCTGTGTCCCATGCCCTTCTTCATGTGCTCGTCAGCCTCCAACTTCTAGGCCATTGCCTGGAAAGATGGCAGACCTGCAGCCAGATGAGGGGCTTGGCTAGCTTATGGGCAATTTTGGCTCGAGGGCCCCAAGGACAAGCCCAGACCCTCTGAGCAGGACAGGAGGCAGATGAGAGATCCTGAACAGGGAGGTGAGACACTTTTCCTGATCATGATATTGTGGCTGTGTGTTTAGAAGTAAAGGTCCAGATTTCCGCAGCCTGAGGCCAGGACAGTCTCTGGTGGGGCTTTATGACTCATGTGGCTTGGAGCTCTGGATGCTTTTACCCTTTAAGAATGGGGCTGCCTTCTGGCTTTACTTTTATGACAAAACAAAATGCACCTGGCCTGCCTCCTCAGGCAGGTTTGAGGTTTGAGTCTCTTTCAGATCATGTTTCCCGTGGGGGGGTCAGCAGGCAGAATACCAGATTGAAATGATGAAGGCTGTGATTTTCAGTCTTGGGCAGCTCTAAAGTTCTAAAGTTGGATCAGGTTATTTTCCTGTGATTGTTAAAAATGGCCAAATAAATAACACTTCCCTGGCAAGTCCCTGGGGAAAACCTCAGAGAACTGGGCGTTAAGAAAATATCAGCACTAGGAAACTGGATCTTAGAGAGTCTAAGGGAAAAAAACCAGAGAATTCCAAGATGCCATGCAGTCATTGCTTGATATCAGGCCTGTCATTTTAGCTTATAATAGAGATGGAAAATTACAGGCTGTCAGTGGTCAGTGTCGTTCACGCTTCACCACTCTGACACCCTATATTCAGAGGTTACTTCATCAAAATGTAGTACCACGGGCCGTTGAACTGATGCGGGCACGTCAGCCTCACTTCTCTGAGTCCTGAGTTTCTTCTTGGCCTTCTGTCTTAGCACATGGCCGGGCACATCAGTGCCCAAAAGATAACTGTGGAACCCCTCAAATTCACTGGCTTTGTGGGCTTGGTTCAGGAGATGTACATATGTGCTGGTTATCAGGAGACGTCATCATTCACTAGGCAGCGTGGGGTAAGGAAGGCCGAGCATCTCCCCCAGAGGAGCGGACGAAGCCAGCCGAGAAGCGACACTGGGGAAGGGGCAGGCGACAAGGTATCCAGTGCGACAGGCTGAGTGGCAGCTAAAAGCTGGGCCTGGGAGTCAGGGGGCAAGACAGCACTGGACAGGATTGCTGAGGGAATGAGCCTCATTTATAGAAACACCTTCACGTAGTGTCAGCAAAGTTTATTTAACGAATTCCTTAGTGTTGGATATTTAGAAGCATTAGGGTGTTATTTGTAATGTTTTGCAAATCTAAATCATGCAGTGACACATAATGCTGTAGCTAAAGCTTGTCTATATCCATGGTCACGGCCTTTGGATGAGTTCCGAGAAGTCAAGTCGCTGGCTCAAAAAAGCCTTGTTTTGAGGCTTTTGGTTCATATTTCCAAATTGCTCACCACAAAGGCTGTGCCACTTCACATTTCTGGGAGTTTTCGTTAAGTACTGTTTCCTGAACCCCAGCCCAGAGTGACGAAGGGAGGCTCATTCAATCTATTTCATTTTCTTGTCATAGTACATTTCTGAGACTTTCCAATTATGGTGATGGTGGGCATCATGGTCTAATTCCTGATATTAATTAAAATGCTCTTAGTGTTTTGTCCTTTAGGCAAAATTTGCCCTTGGTTTCTGAGAAATAGTCTTCATTACATTTAAGGAATTTCCTTCTATTCCTATTTTTAGGTTTTTTATTAAGAATGTCTGCTGTATTTAATTAGATGCCTTTTAAGCATTTATTGAAAATATCATAGGTTTTTTTTTCTGTTTTAATTTGTTTGTGTTATGAAGAATGTTGATGGATTTCCTGAGAGTGAACCCTCGTTGTATCCCGGGGGTTTGTTCTCTGCATTCAGATGCCGGACTCTCTTTTTAACACCACGCTTAGAACTTTGCTTCTGTATTCATAAGTGAGATTAGTTTATAGGTTTATTTTTTTAATAGTACTTTTAGTCCCTTTTTATAATTACAATTATACTGGCTATTAAAAGCAGACTAAGGAGCTGTACATTTTCCCCCTGTGGTCTGGGATAGTTCAAATAATGTTAAAATTACCTATGTTTTGAAGGTTTGATAAAACTCCGCTGTACATTTTTCTATGGTAGCTCTTTAATCTTTAAAAATTTTTCTATGGCAATGGTTCTATCTCAAGTTTTCCTTTCCTTATGTCAGTTTGTTTTTTTCTACATTTTGCAAGCAATCGTCCAGTTCTTCTAGGTTTCAAAATTTGCCGCCCAAAGTTGCAATGTATTATTTTACAATTTCATCCTCCTGTATCTGCAGCAACATCCCTTTTCTCGTTCCTCTTTTTATCAGGCCTGTGAAGGACTTACTTGGTTCCCTTCTTGTTTTGTTTTGTTTCTATTAATCAGTCTTTTTATTAATTCCTTCTCACTAATCACTTTATTCTTTTTCTAATTTCTTAACACGAATACTTCCTTTGCAGGCTTTTAAGGCAAAAATATTCCTTGTGTACAGCTTTCTCTGTATCCCATAGCTTTTGATGTGAAATAGTCTTTTTCGTTGCTTTTGAGACAGTTTGTAATTTCCCTTTTAATTTCCTTTTTGATCCAGTAGCTACCTAGGAGTGTTTTCTTATGAAGTCATATTTTAATTATTTCTAATTATCAGATAATGTCACCTATAACATCTACTTTTACAAAATTTGTTAAAGTTTTCTTTGTGATTACTGATACACTTTTGTATGTGTGGACATGTGAAAAAATTCTATTTGGCAAATGAAAGGTTTTCCATATATTTATGAAACCAAGTTCCTTATTCGTATTATTCAATTTTCCCATGTCATTATTTTATCTCCTTGGTATGTACAATATAAGTGCATTTGCATTTTAAATCAAGTTCTTGTATTTGTAATCACGCTTGTTTTATGTATTTAGTTGTTGTTGTTGGATATCTATTGGCCGTTCATCACAAGTTGTCTCTCCTGATGCTGTTTAGTGCTTTTAACCTTAAATTCCACCTTGTCTGATGTTCATATTGCTGCTCATATGTATCTATTGTTTACCTGTCATCATTCTTCCCAACCCTTTAAATTCAACCTTTTGGTATCACTTTGTTTTATGTGTGTTTCTTGTAAACAAATTATAGCTAGTTTTTTTTCTTTCTTATTTTTTAAAAACCCACTCTGATCATCTCTGCTTTTATTAGCAGAGTTCAGTTTGTCACATTTGGAATAATGAGATACTCATTTCTCAACTATTAATTTCAAACAACATTCCCTATATCCTCTCTTATCCTAATAAGATGACATTTTTAAGTACTTTTACTGCCTCCTCTTTCTACTGATTTTTACCAAAATAATTTATCTTTAGTTACAGCCTGGTATCAGGATTTCTCTTTCAGTGTCTCTCTCTCTCCTAATTCCAACATCCTTATTTAGCACTTATACGTTTCCAGATAGTCTCTCCTCATCCATCTTACTTTTAATTTAGACCTTCCTTTCTAGTTCATTACTTACAACTATCTCCTCTTTATCTTTCTCCATCTTGATGTCTCTGATCTGGTTCATCTGATGTTTGTCTGGTATCTTTTCTCAAATGTGTTCCTCAGATGGGGCACATGAGTGATTTGCTTTCTGAATTCTTGCATATCCTTATGTCTTTCTTTTGTCCTGACAGGTAAATGATATCTTGGCTGGGAATAGGATTCTTGGATTTCAGCCCTTTTATCTTAGTAGCAAGTAGATTCCATGGTCTTCCAGCTAATGGTGCAGGTGAGCAGTCCAATACCAATCTGATTTTTTTTTCTTTTACAATAACTTGTTCTTTCTGCCTTGAACCTTGTAAGAGTTTCCCTTTATTCTTGGAGTTGCAGAATTTTACCAAGAAGGCCAGAGATGTGTCATTTCTCATCCTTCTAGCCTGGAACTTGTGGATCCCTTTCAATCTACGTGACTAAGTTTTCAACTCAGAGCTTTTACTCCAAATTTATTTAATGTTGACTCCATTATAACTGTTACTTTTACTCTTTCTAAATTTCTGTTGATTTCTAAGACCTCAAGTCTTAATCTCTTCATATATTAGCTCTGTGATTTGAGAGAGATTTTCCTGCTTTTTATCTTTCAGGAGACTATTTTGGGTCTCAGTAGAAACCATGCATTTTTCAACTCATCTACTGCAGTTTTAAATTAGGAATCATTTTTGTTCATTTTTAGTTCCAGAAAAATCTTTTTTGGTGGCCCTTCCCCTTGAATTTCCTTAAGCACTTTTTTTTTTTTTTTTGCTGAGGAAGATTTGCCCTGAGCTAATATCTGCTGCCAATCTTCCTCTTTTTGCATGTGAGCCGCTGCCAGAGCATGGCCACTGACAGATGAGTGGTGTAGGTCTGTGCCACTGAAGCGGAGTGTGCCAAACCTAACCACTAGGCCATCAGGGCTGGCCCCTTAAGCACTTTCTTAGAGCTGCCAGAGACCGATAATTTTCTGGGCTTATACTCTGTTCTGAGTGACCTTTCTTCTGGCTCCTAGGCTCTCTAATGGGTTATTATTATTTTTCGTCAGCTCACTGTGGCCGAGGAGTGGTTGATGACTGGTTGATGGCATCTGTTCAAGTGGCAACAGTCCCAGTTTATAGGAGGTGAAGTAGTGTCTTCCTCCTGGCCCAGCAGTGCAGAGGCAGGCAGGCATGTGGTCAGTCCCTGGGAAGAAGCTTCTGTAGACCTGGGTATCCCTGGCCTCTTAGCAGTCATGGGAACAAGGTGAACTAGGTTCCATCTGCAGCCCTTCTCAGCTGGGGCTCTGAGAGAGAATGAAACTCTAATGTCCTGAGGCATCCACTGTATGTAATGAAGTAACTTCTCTTCTGTGCATCTAGAATGGTTCTATGCACCATCTTTGGGAGAATTGAGAAAACAGGCATTCAAATCACTTCTTGTTTGGCTTAATCCTCTCTTGATGAGAAAGGCTGAGCCAGGCACACTCCACGTGGGGGTGGTGGTGAATTTCCCCATCTGGTGGAGGGAGGAATCCCACAGATCTCCTGGGCCCAAGCTCTTCCCAGAAGGCGGTACAGTGCAGTGGCTGCATGTGTGGGCTGCAGGGCCACACTGCCTGGTTGGACCATGGGCAAATTATTTGACTTTTCTGGGCCCTAACACACTGTAAGCACTCAGGAAATGTGCTTTAATTTATGGACATAATTGCTGATGCTGCTTTTCCTTCTCCTTCCATATTGGCCAGTATCTAGTGCTTGCTTTGACTCTATTCTCCAGCCAGCCCAGCCCAACATGAAGAAGGTCCTGTCTCTCTTCTCACTGCCTGGACTCCAGGGCCTCCCTCTGTTCGGCCCCAGGAGCTCCTGGCTCAGGAAAGGCAGGTGTTGTGGAGCTGGGCTGGGTGAGGCCTGGGAGCCACATTCTGGTGGCTCAGGATCCTATCTATCAGACATCAGAATCCCATCCATCATCAGTATTATTGTCCTTAACAGCAGGCCTTGCTAAAGATATTCTGCTAAGTGCCTATGAGGGGCGTTTGCTTGCCGCTGTTTCCTACTCTCTCCTTGAGTTTTATGGACATATTTTGATAAATATGATTAGCCACCTAGGGAAGTGGGAGACATTTATTAGCTAGGGAGAGAGTTCTTTCCTGCAGGGTGGGTGTCGGCCTCCACGTGCTCAACATACCTGGAGGCTTGGTTGGGACTTGTGCACGTCCCCCCAGCTCAGGACCCACACTTGGTCATGCGACTTGTCATAGGACAGCTTAGCTGGCAGAGGGTCCACACCTATGGACTTGAAAAAAAATAGTGACAAGTGGTCATCGTTGTTGTAGAAGCTGACACAGTGGTCATTTCTGGGCTTTGTGTGCGTGGCTATCACTCTTGGGTGGGTGGAAAGCCAGCCTAGCAGCCTTGGCAGTGAACCCATTTGGAAGCCCAGCACAGAAACTTCCCTTCTGGGTTTGTCTGCAGAGGCATAAAATTGGTTGCCAGTAATTTCTCCCTTTTAAAAACTTCCTGCATGATTTACTTGAAGGAGACCCAGACCATTTTGGCAAAGCCTAAACACAGAGGCTTTAAGTTTTCCACTCAAGAATCAGCTGAGGACAGATTCTTCATCACTTCACTTCTCCTGGGAGCCTTCTGGACCTCTTGAACCCTCAGTGTCCTTCCCTAGGCTGCTCTGTGGCCAGATTCTGGTGAATTGGCCCTTCCCCCTGGGTCATCTGAGACTGACTTTGAGATCACCCATTGTCACCTCTTATCTTTGTGCAGCTTCTATCTTGTACATCCTTTGACTGGAGCCTATAGCACCAGGCTGACTGTTTTTTATGGTTCTAACTGAAACTCTGCTATCCCCTGAGGATGGAGCTTCCCCTGTGGCCCTGTCAAATGCAGACTGTTTTCTCTTCTACTTCTTACAATGTGGTTTTATAAGTTCCAAAACTCTGTTCTATGATGCTCATGCCACTACTCTATGACCCCTGTTCTTCTTGTCATTGGCCAAATGTCCTAGCCAATCTGTTTGTTCACTAAAGACATTAACACATGGCTCATTGTCTTCTCTACCACTCACTTGGTTCGCAAGTTTGGTGCCTTCAAATCCACATAGATGATTCATCCAAAGGCCCTTTCTCAGTTCCTTCTTGGTTTCAATGATCGTTTCCTCCTCCTCACCTCAGCCACCATAACTTATACCTTGTCAATATAATTCTGAAATTTCAATTTCAACTAGCCATATTCTAGCCTTTCTGATCTGAGGGGATAAAAACCCCATCAGTTAAAACTTCTCTAAAGAACTGTCTATGGAGTTCCTGAATCCATTTCTCCTTAACTCATCCCCACCAAGTTTCTGTCTTCATCACTTCACTGACCTGTTCTAGACCTTCATGTCAGATTCAGAGATCACTTTGTGATCCTCCTCTTACTAGACATTTCAGTGAGATTCCACTTGGGTTAACTATTCCCATCTGGAAACTTTTTCTTCACTCAGCCTCCCACCTCCCTAGGTTATTTTCCTCATCCTGACTTCTAAATGTTGGTATGTCCCAGGTCTTCATCTTTGACCTTTTCTCTGTCCACGTCCTTTCCCATGTAGGGTGAGCTCATCCAATACCATGGCTTCAAATAACTCACTATATATTCTGATGACTTTAGAATTCATTCCTCTGTTGATAACCTCAACTGAACTCTTGATTTTTGCCCATCACCTTACTCCAGCCCCACTGGCCTTCCTTTTGCTGCCAGAGTTGGAATACCACTTGGCATTTAGATCTCAGATTCTGTTCACCTTCAGAGAGAGGGCCAATTTAAAATTGTTCCTCTGTCACATTTCACCTGTAAATAGCTCTTACTATTTACAGCTCCCTAAAATTCTGATTTATGATCTGTCCCTCCAACTAGAATATAAGTTCCAGGACTTCATTGCTCGGTTTTGGCTGTTTTCCAAGCACCTAGAACAGTGCTTGGCACAGAGTAGGCAATAAATACTTGATGAATCACTGCACATCAATATTCCTTGCCCCCTTCCTCCCGCTGCCCCCCAGTCTGACCACCTCTCATAGGAGCCGGGGAGCCTGCAGGAAACAAAGAAAAATTTGGCAGGCTGTGCCCCAGAACTGGAAGTCCCCCTCCCTCCCTTAGAGAGATGTACCTGTAGGACTTTCTGGGCTTGAACGTCGACCACAAGGACTCTGCTCAGGGCAGGCTGGGCCACGTAGATGTACCGGTGCCTGACATTCACTGCCGATGCCCACTGGCATGGCTGGGTGGCATCTCCTTCCCCTTGAGGACAGATATCTTCCTGTAAGGAGATAGGCTGCCATATATCTTCTTAATTCTCTTTTCCCCTGACATCTCCAGGCTCCCTCTCCCCTCCTCTGTCCTTTCTTCCCTCTCTTAGAATCCTTTGGATCCACAGAACATGGCACATGAGCCCTCTCACCAGCTTTTCACTTCATATCCCTTTCATCTCTCACTTCCTCCTACTACTTCTGAGGCTGTAACTCCCTTTGTGGTCATCTCAACCAGCAGCTTCCAGCTCCATGTTCTTCCACTCTTGTGTGCCACCTTCCCCCTCTCCTCATCCCCATCATTTAAAAAAACTTCTGTCACTGGCCGGGCTTCTGAAAGAGTTACCTACACTCTCTGCTTCCTCACCTCTCGTGTGCTCCTTAACACTCTGGCTCCCATCCTCACCACAAAGCAGGCAATGTTCTCACTGAGGTCAATACTGACGCCTCAGTTATTAACCCCCCACCATCATTTTATTTGAACTTTGGGCATCATCTGACACTGTAGTGACTATTCGTTGGTTCTTCTTCCTCCATCCTACCCCAGAGGCTGATCCTTCTCGGTTGCTCAGTCATAATCAGTTTGCTGATCTCTGTATGTCAGAGGGCTCAGGGTTCACTCCTGGATGACTTTTTTCCTCTACAGTCCACTCCCTTTGTTAATGTCATCTAATATATGGCTTTACCTGCAGTCTACATGCTTATAACTCCCACACTGATATCTTTAGCTCAAGCCTCTTCTCTGAACTCCAGACTTATACAGCCAACCACCTAGCTCTACTTGGTCCTTTAATGGCCATCTCAAACTTGTAAGTCTAAAGTCAACTCTCAATTTTACCTCCCAATCGTGCTCAGTCCATTCAAAAAATGGCAGCTCCATTGTTTTACTTCCTTAGAGCAAAAACTTTGAGGCCATCTTTGACTCCTCTTTTTCTCCCCATACCCTCAGCCCTCATCCAATGTATCAAAAGTCATTTTAGCTTTACCTTCAAAATATATCCAGAATTTGACTCCTTCTTACCACTTCTACCTCCATCACCTTAGCTCAAGCCCCATTACCTGTCACTGGAGTACCTGCTATCATATCCAGATTGCCCCTTGATTCCACCCTGGCCTCCTCCCACCTATTCTCGACATGGAAACCACAGGGATCATTGTAAAATTTAAGTTAGCCCCCGTTACTCCTCTTTTCAACACCCCCCTCCCCAGTAACATTCTTTCTTGCTCAGAATAAGATCCAAGTCTTTCCCAAGCCTAAAGGCCCTATACACTCAGGCTCCTGCTACTCCCCTGACCCATCTCTGGCTTGTCTTTCCCTTACCCACCCTACCCTGTGCACACGGCGTGCTCATTCTTCTTCATTCATGCCACACTCTTGCACCAGGGCCTTTGCACTGGCTGTTCCCTGTGGCTGGGATTGCTCTTCCCCAGATATCTACATGGTTTATTCTCTCATATCCTTCAGGTCTCTGCTTAAGTGTCATCTTATTGAGAGGCCGTCTTTGACCTCATCTAGCTTAGCTCCCCCAGCACTCCTCACTGCCTTACCTTGCTGCATCCTTCATGCACTTGACTTTGTGCATTTATTTGTCTATGCTTCATCTCTCTTCTTTCACTAGATTGTAAGCTCCTTGAGAGTAGGCTCTCTGTCTGTTTGGTTCACTGCTACATCCTTAGCACCTAGTACAGTGCCCAGCACAGAATTGGCACTTAAAATATATTTGTTGTATGAGTAAATGAGTGAAAAATCTGACCTTCTTTTCCCTTGTCTTCCAAGATATACATTCCCACGTTTTTCCTCATGACGCTGACCCAACTCTGTTTCAGTCTGCTTTGAGGTTCCTCTTGGTCTGCCTGGTAGCTGTTGATGACCTCCAGGGTTCTGTTCTAGGTGCCCATCTCAAATCACCCACACACACCCTTGGTGATCTTGTCTAGCCCCCTTGGCTTTTTCCAACACTCACATGCTCGTGGCTCCCAGATCTGTGTCTTGAGCTCAGAACTACCTTCTCCAGTTCCCACTTGGTTCTCTCACAGCCACCTCATCCTCAACCATCCACACCTGAACTGTTCCTGCTCCTTCCTCTGGGTCTTCATCACCATTGGTCAGCCAAGTGTAAAGCGTGAACACCATCTTTGATTCTTCCTGCTCCCATGAACTCACCTCTAATTAGTCACTGAAGACTACTGAGACTATCCCCTAAATCTCTGAGATCATCTACTGTCCATCTCCACCCTGTTTCTCTCCTAGAAGACTGTAATAGCTTTCAAACAGCTTGCCTCCTTGGACTCTCGCCACTCTGTCATCACATTTAATCCTCATAATAACCCAAATCTGCATATGAGAAAACTGAGGCTCAGAGGGGTTAAGTAACTTCTCTAAAGCCACCTAGCCTGCTGAGTGACAGAGGTGAGCTCTGAACCCAAGTCTGCCTAACTTTGAAGCCTGTGCCCTTATCTATTAATCATGCTGCTTCCTGCTGGACAAAGTTGACATTGAATCCAGCAGAGAAGCTGGAAAGGAGATGCACCAACCTCCTATTCACCCAGCACTTTAGAAAGAGAGTCATTCCATTGTAACCCTCCTGTGAGGTGTTTGGTGTTTTCTAGATGAGAGCACTGTTATTTGGGACTGTTCCACAGCTCACCATGGTCTTGTGTTGCCTGAAATGTCTTAGGATCTCTCTTACTGTGTCTTGTTCTAGCTTCTTAGGAAAATTGAGTCCTGGTTAGGATTTGAGAGATTTCCCCAAAGCTACAGTTTAGCTTATTGCAAATATATGAGAAATTGTGCCAATGTGATTGGGTGCAATTATTTAAACTTAACTGCTAGCAATTAACTAGGACCACTCCTTCTAGATTGTTTCATGGCTATTAATGTGGAGGGAAAATTCATCAGAGGTAGCACTTTTAAAAAAGATTAATTCAAATGAAATAGCCTGGAAAACAGCTGTTTCCAAGCTACAAATTTGAGAAAAGCAACAGCCTGAGATACACCAACAGCCAGCACAGCAATGCAACAAATTTGTTTAGGAACTTGTCTGGGCCGAGCCCACTGGCTTCATGGATCTAAGCCCGTCACTATTCACCAGTTCATTCACTGTATGTCCTCAAGGAGGGCACGTGGGGGCTTTTAGATTACTCTTTTGGGTTAATGCCATAGTTCTACCTTCAAGTAGCTAGGGTTTAGTGGAAGAGGTCAGATCCCATGCAAGAAACCACCAATACAAGGCCAATTGTGTTACCAGTGGGAGGGACAGAGCCCTGGGGTGGAGTGGGGTGGGGTGGGGAAGCACAGCCCTGAGGGATGCCTCCTGACAGCTGGGTCTTGAGGGCTGGAAGGGCTTTCCTAAATCTGCTACCAGCAATCATCTCTTCTGCCTCTGCCCACTGCATGTTACGTTGACCCTTTCTACCTGGCCTCATGTTTTGTTCACAGCACCTGACACTCTGGGCATTCATGTGTTTCATGTTCTATCTCCCGGTTCTTTGAGGGCCACTGGGTACCTCCAAGCTCGCCTCATCTATCAACTGGTTGAGCATCCCTTCCTTTCGTAAACTTGGCCTTCCTTGGGTTCTGTGACCCATGTTCTCTAGGCTTCCTTAAAGCTACTTTTGCCTGCCAGAGCACACAGGCCCCTCCAGCTCAACACTGCCATTTCCCCCACTGCCTTGTGGATGTTTCTGTGCATGTGTCCTATGGGCACCTCAAACTCAGCCCATCACAGGCTGACTTCATCTGCTTGACTCAGAGCCTATCTGTCCTGCTCCCGGGGTCCCCAGCACCCAGCCCTGGGCCTGGTATGTGGCATAGGCTGGGTAGAGTGTTAGAGAATGAATGGTGACCCCCCCAGCTTGCTCCTCCTCCCGTGTGAAGGGCCCTCCCCTCCTCCTAGCAGCACTCTGGATTACCCTCACATTCCCTCTAAAATCTGCTCAATTCTCCCCACTCCCACTGCCACTGGCTTAACCCAGGTCACCACCCTCTCTCCCCTGGATAATGACAACAGCCTCTTCACCTACTTCTGTGCTTCTAGTCCAGGCCTTCTCGCCATTACCCTCACTGAGGCCCTGCACATGTTCTAAAGCAACCTGATCATGGCCGTCTTTCACCTGAAATCCTTCATGCATCCCAGGGCTTTCAGGATACCATTAGAACTCCCCGGCCTTGACCCTCACCTACTATCATCCTAATCTTAGGCCCGTCCACATCCATTCTTCCCTCCAGGCATACAGAATATTTGCGGTTCCCTGAACGTGACACGATGGTTTATGCCTCCATTCTCCATGTTCATGACATTTCCTCTAGAAACCCGTCACCAATTCCTACTGATCTTCAGAACTGAGCCCAGGTACTACCTGCCCCAGGAGCCCTCTCTGACTTTGTCCTCCCCACGTCTGGAGAGGCCTCTCTCCTCAATGTTCCACTGCACCTTGCACATCCTTCTCACGGCACCTGTATGGCAGCTGTCTGTTCACATTGCTGTCTCCATCATTTGACTGTGAATTGAGGCCAGGAATCCATCTGAACACTCTAGGCCTCACCTCAGGCTCAGTGCATGGAATGAATGCGAGTTGAAACTCAGCCTCCTATGTTCCTTCCTCAGCCTTGGGACATATTTGGAACCATGCTACATATAGCAAATGGAATTCAAGAATCAAGTGGCACACATGGTGAAAGACGGGCTTTTAGGACTTGGTCTGTGTGTGATGGAGACATGCCGTAGGCACAGAAACTTACGTAGCTCATGAAGATTTTCTCAGTGGGTTTGAGATGCCTCTGGATCTCACAGTCCACGGGGTGCAGGATGACAATGCCATCATCGGAGAAGACGTAGAACATGTTTCCCACACTGAGGCCTGGGAGGAGCAAACACAGCCAGGGTTATGCCCCTTCTAGCAGCTGACCCCCAGGCAGGGTCACATGCCACACTGGGCACACATGAAACCTGCAGTTTGGGTGCATCTGGTACAGGCACAAAGTGTGAGCCCTGGTCGAGGTTGGGGATGAGAGGTGAGCAGGTGGTGTGCGGGGAGCGTGGGGAGAAAGTGCCCCGAGGGCCATGAATCAATATAGCACATCAGCACTCTGCAGTTCCCAGGCTGTCCTCCCAGACATGCACATCTACCCTAGGTCATCTAGGGCTGGCCACCAACACAAGTGTTCAAACAAATGACAGCCTTGGACTTGACGTACATCTGATCTTTCCTGTTCTGAAAGGCAAAGCTTCCCTTGGCCATTCATCATTGACTAAAATCAGAAAGGATCAGATGATGCCAAAATAGCAAAGGCTCTTATTTTTAAACACATTTATGTATAGCGCCACTCCCTGGAACACGGGGTCCCAAGAATGCCGTGTTCTTTGTCCAAACTTAGTCCTGGCCTGTCTGTGCTGGCGAACCTCTCCTTCGAGACAGCTTCCTCCAACCTCTGCCCCTCCAGTTGCTCTGCGGCAGCCCCATGCCAGGCAGCAGAGCCCACAGCCTGGTTGTGCCTGCCTGCCTGCCCTGACCCGGCCCAGGGCTGTGGCTGTCTGGAGAGAATAGGCCTTGGGGACCAGCTAGTTCAGCCTCCTTATTTTAAAAACAAAGAAATTGAGGTCTGAGGTGGGGAGGGGCTTGGCTGAGGCCACTTACCTTTGTGCCAGAGCCAGGGTTAGACCCTGAGCCCAGGGCTGTGTCCCCTCACTCTGCCTCTCCACAAAAGATTAACAGGGCACAAAGAGGTAAGGTTGGACTTCTCCCTCCCCCTCCCCCATTCCCTTCATTCCTCTTGAAGGCAGAATAGTAAAAAGATTTCTACAGATTCTAAGAAAATTAAATATACAGAAAACTCGCTCTTTCCTACCACGCTGTGGAAACCAGTATACTGACTTAATTGACTCTCTGGATAAGTTTTTAGTGAGTTAGAAAACAGTAAAACAAGCAAACAAGAATTTCCATTCCATGGGCTTCCAATGACTCTGCAGGCAGTTTTCTGGGCCTTGGGCCCTTGGCGATGGCACCAGTGCCTGTGCTCATGGTGTGGACGGAGGTCCCTGACTCCATGACACAGCCTCAACTGCCTCTGGTTCTGTCCTAAGAGTGGCTCCGGGCAGGAGGGTCCCTGCCACTGCGAACAGCTTGACCCCAGCTTCTCAGAAGCAGCTAACACATGGGAGCATCTGCATAGGTCCTAATGGGAATCCTGGGGTGCCAGGCGGCCTGTCCCTGAGAGCCAAATGAAGCTGGCTGCCCGCGAGTGCCTCATCTTGGCTCCCACGGCATCCCAGCGTTTGGAGCAGGGCATGGCAGCACGCATTTGCTCTGACCCCATCTATCTTGCCCCCAGCAGGACCTTCTCTTCTGTACACTCACACCCGGTAACCTCTCTCACTCAAACCTAGGGGCCGGAGGGGGTCAAAGTCCCCGCAAAACCATAGACCTCACAGGAATAGCCTCCCGGGGCTTCTTGGAAAATCATTATGCTGAAGGAACCAACATAAGATGGAAAGCTTAAGAGAATCCACATGGGGTTTGCAGCTGTAGCTACATTTCAGGCTGAGCCCAGTGCCTTGTTCACAGTCGGCAATAGAACGTGAGGCTCAACAAATACTTGCTCAACAAATAATTGACTTCACAGGAGACTCAGCCTCGTGATCCAGCCCCCTGGGAGGTTCTATCTGAGTTCAGCTTCCACTAAGGGGGCTTGAAGGAGCTTTCTATGCTTTTGTGTGCGCTCATCCTCTCATTTCTCCTATTGAGATTTGGGAGTGCCCTGTGGCCTCTTTGTTTTTGCTTCTGTATTCCCCTGTCTCCAGGCCTTGAGTTTTAGCAGTGAAGGGTACAAGCGGCTAGGTGTCCGGGCATGTTGGAATTTGCTCACTGCTGGATTGTCCAATACTAGTGCAGCACGGGCCAGCCCTAGGCCCTAAGCCCGCTGTGGGTCCTACGTGGGCATTTGGGCCTCTATAGCCGCATTTCACACACCCCAGGGCCTCCTGCATTTTTGCAGGTCTCCACTTTTGAAACTTGAGTACCTTTGTAGTAAACTCACCTTAGGAAAACACGGCCTCTCAAAGACACAGAGTGAAAGCCCTCTGTGTGCATTGTCGCCTAGGAGCTAGGTTCAGGTAGCATCAAGGGACAACTGTCCGTGATTAGTGACTGTTGCTAAGACTTGTTCTTCTGTGGATTCCTAAAGCCTTATGGCAGCAATTCCTCATTTTCCAGCCTCTGCCTTTGTTTTGCTCCAAGACTTACTGTGTGAGCTTTAGTGCCTGATGTTCAGGAAACTGTTCTGAGTATGTATATGCATGCGCATGCTAGAGTGTAGTCATGCAAAGTTCTTGAGGAAAGTATAAGACAGGAAATACGTTGGTTTCTAAAGAGGGAGATTTAGTGCTTAACCCTGAAATCACATGTGCATTCTGTTCTCTCATACTCCACCCCACCCCCCAACTGGAGAGTAAGTAACCCCAAGGGGATTCGGACTCTGCTCTGGTGAAGGGGTTCAGAGTTGGGGCTGGGGTCCACGCATGCACACGCACCCCAAGCTTGACTCAGGCTCTCTGATCGAGCTCCCATATGTGCCTGCTGTGTTTTGAACCACATGAAATTGTATTAGATCATTTTTGACGTAAAAAAATGGCAATTTTGTATGGCCCAACCTAATATCTAAAGATTGTCTGATAAATACAAATCAAAAATTCTGCTCATTAAAAATATACATATAAATATTTACAGAAATCATAGTAATTTTTTTCTTCAGCATTTCCTCAAAGTATGCACTGACCCCCAACACCAATATCAGCTACTTGAAAAAATTTTAAGGCCCAGATCTGACCAGGAACCTCTGCCAAGTAGTCTGCTTCAGTGGAGGTTTTAAATAGCTTTAAATAGAAACTTTCCATTTTTAAGTTCTAATAGACTAGTGTCCATTAAAGACATTAGTAGGTTTTAAATCTGCTTCTCAGTGTGTGCCACTTGAGTTTGGGACTGACCCACCCATCTGATTTGGCATGTGGACCCCACTTGTGGGGACTGCTTGGTGTCTGGAAAAGCTAATGGTGGCTCATGGAGAGATGGCCCATTATGGAACCAGGAACACACATGATCAGAGGCACAACACAGAACAAGTTAGTTTGGTACCTTCCTCTCGCCATAGGATGTTTGCAACTGCAGCAGCAGAGAATCAGGAAAGTGGGAACAAGATTGAGGAAAGGGAGAAAAGAAGAAAGCAACGTCAGAACCTTCACTGTAGTGATTCAATGCATGAACACACTGGTATCTGGTCCAGTGTGTATAGAATCTGCCCCACTCACTGCCCCAGCAATGGTACTTGGGAGAAACTCCAGACAGGGATGAATGCTTCCAGGTCTCAGGACCCTTTCGATTGCTAATGAATCTTTGAAATCAGGTCCCAGGATCACAGAAGCTAATGGGATTCTCCAATTCTGTGGATGATAAAGAGTGAGCAACGTCTCTCCCAGACCTCCTGGATTACTTGCAGGAGCATGCTGACTTCCCACTCCTAGGAAGACCATCTGAAATACTTCTGATTATCTCCTTTGATGATAAAGACTTGGCTTGGAGTCTCTGACCAAGGGAAAGAGACCATGTCCAACAGCCATGTCCATGAAATCACACCCGCAGACCCACTTGGGGAGCAGTGGCTACAAGGAGAGCACACAGCACACCAGGTGGGCTATAATCCCTGGTGTAAAGGCGTGTGTGTGTGCGCGCGCGCACGTGCCAGTTCCTGACCATGGTGGGGTGGCAGCACCTGGTGGGTGGATAGTACAAGGAATTTTGTGGATGAGGGGCAGAGGATCCAGTCATACAGCAAGTAGGAAGCAGAACAGGGGCTGGAATATGCGAGCTTCCTTGTGGTCCTGGTTCTGTCTGCTGTCCAGAGAGTTTCTCTGTCTATGTTTCCAGAGTCGTCTAGGTTGCTAGGGGAAGGTCTGTTCCCCTCTGAGCACCCTTTGTCCCCAGCTTTGAGCACAGAAGGATATGGGGTTTATCTCGTCTTCAGAGGCTCATGGTTGGTGACTATGGCCCTGGTCAATTAGTTCCCTCCTTGCCACCCGACACCCCCCAACCAGCTCAATGAGGACCTCAGAGGCAGGAGTAACTCACGGGTCTTTCTAGCCGAGTCTTCAATGAAGAGTGAGGAGATATCTTCGTCCACACCCACTTCATTTTTGGCAATGCAGGTATACGCCCCTGTGTCTTCATACCGAACACTACTGATGTGGAGTTCACTCCCATTGGCTGTAGAAAGGACAATGCTCAAGGTGGCCTGCTCAGCTGGGACCCCCACTCCCTCCCTCCCCATTCCCTTCACAGGGCTATTGAGAGTGTTGGCATTAAAAACACAGCCCCTCAGCAGGGCTGAGGGCAGCCAATATCCCTGATATATGCATAGGTAGGGTAAGAACAGCTGAAATGAACTGAGGGGGACCTAGGACCTGATTGACAGCTTCTCATCATTGCTCTCAGAAAGCCCACAAGACCCATGTGAGCCCACATAGCAGAAAAATTTGGGGAGACATTTGTTCACTCCCAATGTGTCTTAGAAACAAATCACGCCTCTCATTTCCATTCCTGGGGAGAGTGTCAGCTTGAACTTGGTGGGAATAGAGACACGGAGACACCGAGGGCAGCTCTTACCTAAAAGAGAGAGCTGTTTTGACATCTGGGTTGAGATATCCACACCATTTTTCAGCCAAGTGATTCTGGGCATAGGAATGCCCTCTGCATGGCATCTCAGACTGGCCGCCACCCCAGGCTCCTGTGCCTGGGTCTCCGGATAGACGCGAATGACTGGTGGCACTGTGGGTGAGAGTCAGTGCTGGTAAGAGAAGGCTCAGCTGGCCTTGGCCCATGGTCCAACCCTGAGACCCTGATCCAGAGGGGTGAACCGACAGGCAACTCTGGGGTTCTCTTTGTAACCAGCTTACAATCATCCTGTTCAGCAACGCAACCCCTAAAAGAAAGGGCTATGAAATGGATTGCAGGCAATAAACACGTCAGCCTTTGTACCTTGTACCGTTGTACCATTATTCTAAATATGATCAGAAAGACATCCAAATATTTAATGCTGTTCAGTTGCTACACGTAAAGAGCAACAGCCACTGAAATTTATTTCTGAATGAATAAAATTCAGATATATTATTTCTGTTATCGGAAAGTCATTGGACAGGGGCTTAATTTCTTGCAGGAAGTGCTTCACAAAGCACTTATGGGCACTGACTGGCAGGGCTACTAATTACATCACTGTTCCAGCGAAGTCCATTGATTTTCCAGTGGGTCATTTTCATTTCTCCACTTCTTACCCCCTGGAACACGGGGGAAAGGCAAGTATACCCTCCTTGGCTCTTGACTCAGCCATGGGCCCTGGCAGTCAAGTTCAGGGCTGGGGACGTGACCTGGCCCACTTATCAGATGAGTGTTGGGGACAAGGCTTCAGCACCCTCCACAGACCTCTGGCCTTTCTTACATGGCCTGTCTGTGTGGGAGGCAGCTGGAAGAAGTGAAGATCATCTGGAGGATCTTCTCTCCTAGCCCTAGCTCTGGGCCCAGGAAATAAAATAATTATCATTTTTAGTGAATTCAGGGCTCGAACTTATTCATACATTTTACTCCACATAGTTCCAGAAAGGGTTTGTGAGCACTGACGTAAAGGCACCTGGATATTAAACTAAACAAAACAAAAACATCGCACAACTTTTGGGAAGCTGGGATATGGATTCTTCCTGGAGCAGGCAACTACATTTTCCCAGAGTTATCTGGAAGCTCTTATTTTCTGATAAAAGAAAGCGTCCCAGTACATTAGGAGAGAGAAGATATTTCTTGGGATCAGAGTTTAGAACAAATTGATGCTTATGTAGAAGGAGGTGATGGTGTTGATTCTGGAACCTGAGCAAGATTTCTACTGATCTGTGCTTGGGTGGGCAGAGGACAAAAGAAAAACTTGCCTCATTGTGAGATATGGACTCTGCAACTCCTGTCAAAACTCCTCAGGAGGCTGCTAATAGTCTGATCAACTCAGTCTGAGTTTCATGTCTCCTCTGGTTGACCTGTGGGGCAAAGTTGGGGGGCTGAGGAGAAAGCCAAATGGACAACCTGCAAAGGGCATGCGGGATCCCATCTTCAGAACGGCCCCGAGCTGTTTTCACAGCATGAGCTCAGAGGCACCCTCTGCCAAACCACACGGAGACCCAACAACTGTAAAATCTGAGTCATTTCCCCAGTTTCTCATTGTTGGCAGCTCTGGGGGAGAGTTCCAGGGTGTGGCAGAAAGGCCTTGTCACAGATCAGGCCTCTGGGGATGGAGGAGGTATGTGAGGCTCTAGCTGGGGCATATCTGGAGGGCTTCTGAGGATGTCAAAGTGGATCTCCCTGCCCTGACTCCCTTTGGGTCAAAGAGGAAAGAAATAGTAACCTATCTAGGAAACTTCCCTATACCCTGCATTTGGCAGAAAGAGGAATGGGGTTTAGGTTGAATAGGTAGTGGAGTTTCGGTCAGGAGGCTGTAATTCAAGAGCAAAGAGATAGAACTGGGAGGCCCAGGAGCACTGGACTGGTGGGGACATGGTGGCCAGGACCTGGGGCTAATGATCTTGGGCTCTTGCTAGATCACTGTTTATTTATACAAGCCTGCTGAGCAACCACAGAGTAAACCTCAAGACAGTGGGGGAAGAATCAACAGAGATGGAAGCAGAAACAAATGAGTCAAGGAGCCAAAAAAGAGTGGAACTGATAAATAAATCTAAGAGCTGGCTGTTTGTAAAAACCAATAAAATAGCCAAATTTCTGGCAAGTTTGATTAATGAAAAAAATAGAGAAAGAACACAGAGGAGATAAAACAATATGAGAATATGTATTCAATTATGGGTGATAAATGTGAAAATCTCCATGAAATGGATCATTTAAAAGGAAACTTTAAAGTATCAACATTGAAAAAAGAAGAGAATATTAAAAACAATTTTAAAGCGCTACTTTTCGGTTATGCAAGATGAATAAGTTCTGGAGATCTGCTGTGCAGCACAGGGCCTATCATCAACAACACTGTATTGTGCACTTAAACATCTGTTAAGAGGGTAGATCTCATGTTAAGTGTTCTTACCACAAACAACAACAAACAGAAAAACAAAGGGACATAAGGAAACTTCTGGAGGTGGATGGATATGTCTATTACCTTGATCGTGGCGATGGTATCACAGGTGTACGCATATGTCCAAACTCATCAAATTATATACATTAAGCATGTACAGTTTTTTTGTATATCAATTATACCTCACTAACGCTGTTTTTCAAAAAAAGTGCTACTAATCCAAAAGACAAGTTCTTTAGTACACATAAGGAATGAGCGATTCCTAGAGCATACAACCGAGAAGATGTTCCAAATTATATCTGAAGCTAGTATAAGCTAGTATAACCTGGACACCAAAACCTGCCAGAGAGAGCACAAAAAAATGACTACAGAGCTATCTCACTTAGGACTAGTTATACCAAAATCCTCAGTAAAACATTAGCAAATCAAGTCTAGCATGGTATTAAAAGAACATATTGTGCCCAGGTATAACATGTTCCAATGGCTATTAGGAAACCTAGAATTAGTCATATCCAAAGTCAAAAGCAGTCAAAAAGAAAAATCATTTGATTCTCCCACTAAACATTGAAAGGGCCTTTGGGAAAAAAATCAAAATTCATTTCTCGGGGGAAAAAACCTCAGTAAAACAGTAATAGAATAATATTTTCTTCCTACAATGAAGAATATCTCTATAAAAAGAAGAAACAGCACCATTCTTTTCAGAATGGTGAAACATTAAGTCAGGAAAAAAGAAAAAGGAAAAAGGAAAGGAGGCAATGTAAGACCCAGCATTATGCTGGATGTTACTGTCAATGGAAGGCAAGAAGTGAGAGGTACAAATATTAAACAGATGGAGAAAAATGATATTTTACCTGGACATGCTCCAGATAATGAACCAACAAGTAGTAAGGATTAATAAGTGAGCACAGTATAGAGGCCAGTGCCAAAATATACAAAATTAATACCTTACTTATATAACAGCAGTGACCAGACAGAAAATACAGTGGACCTAAATGAAGAAAACTATAAAATCTCACTGAAGACATAAAAAAAGACTTGAAATAATTGGAGAGGTACATTCTTGGATAGGAAGACTTACTATTGTTAAGAAACAAGAGATTGCAAATTAAGCCATACATTTAATCTCATTCCAATTAAAATCAATTGGTGGGGTCTTGACAAAACAATTCTAAAATTTATCTAAAAGAAAAAATATGCAAGAACAGCTGAGGAAATTTTGAAAAACGAGTGATGATTGTCATTTTTCCATACCACATATTGCAAGGTATTACAATACCAAATGCTGCAAAGCGGGCAGGGGGAGGGAGGACGAAAGGTCTGAGAGAATTCCCATCTCTGAGTTCGGCACCACATTAGTGGTCTTGATTGATTTTACAAAGCTCTGTCAATTCAATATTGTGCAGTCAAATTTATTAAATGCCAACCAAGTGTCAGGCATTATGAACAGAGCAGCGAATAAGATCAGCTACCTTCATGGAGCTTTCTGTCTCGGGGAAGGTGATTAAACAATTAACTGTAAGTGTGATGAGCATTACCAGAGGAAGCTTTGGGGGCATGAGGACAGTGGTCTGGGAAGACTTATCAGAATAGAGCAAGATCCACTCTCTCCACCTGACAAAGGAACTACTGACCTTCCTTATGCCTTTGGTGCCTGCCCCTTCACTCATGGTAGATTTGTCCAGTGAACTAGGGACTCAGGAATGGGCTTGGTCTCTAAACTGTGGTCTGGCCTCCTTAGTGAGATGGCAAGTGGCTAGCACCAGCCTTGAAGACTTGCCTTTGCCTCAGCCCTGAACTTGGATAGGAATCTGTGGACCCATGAAGTTTTCATACTTGAGTGTGTATCTGAATCCCCTGGCGAGGTC